CCCAACTGTCGGTCTTTTAAACCCCCTGGGCGTATCATCTTCTAGAAGTTAATATAGTATAATTCAGATAAATGCGTATCGTTCTTCATGTGATGCAATTCCGAGTCTAACAATCTCGCTAACTATATTTTCAGAAACGACGACCTTTTTATTCCATCGATTGTTTCAATCTTTCTTAATCAATCAATCTTGATCAGTGATCGCGTGACATCATTCTGGTTTTGAATGTCTGTAGAACCATTTGTGACTTGTTCTATGTACCATTCGTGACTTGTTCTATGTACCGATGCATTTGAGTTTTTGTTTACTTTTTGTGATTCGGGGCATGGATAAAATCCATTGTGAGAGATGACAGTCCCTATCATTTACTTTGTAGTGGGTGAGGCGGAAATGGCCAGTGTTTCAGAATGAGTGAGCCCTAATCAAAATGAGTATTGGGTCATTTGGTGTCCAACTTTAATGAGACATCCCAAGAAGAACTCATTAACAATTAAGCAATACATTCAAGATATATGTATTTGAATAATATAAATCCAAACCCGCACTCAAGCGAGATGGAATGGGAAATACATAAATAAAACAATGAAAGGTTTATGAAAGTGTCTCGACATGTATGTTATAATATGTGTGCATTTGCCAATCCTATACTGCCACTGTTGAACATGGAATGAAATATACCTATTAACATTTTCAAAACAGAAACAATTTAAATAGTTTTATTTTATGTAGGCAAGTGCAAACCAGAAACCGTACTAAAATGCCCCAATGAGAAATCGATATGGGTTCAAATGGATATCACATTGATGGTCTTTAGTCAAAACCTTTAGAAAAATTATGAAATAATTTCTGGGAAATGATACACGTTGGATAATTACAAAACATAATTGAGTTTATTGTTTCCTACAAGCCTGGAAATATTCCATTCGTTATGATGTCAGAACACACAACTTGATAAAGTATAATATAGAAATATATATAGTCACTGCAACAGACCATTATTGCATATGTACAAAAAGTGATTTTACGGTCATGTTTTTGCCTATTGTTACACATGCTATCAAATAACTTTAGATTGCAGGCACTTTAAATAAACTGGCGTTATGTAGATTATGTTCAATAAAACGAGAAAACTATAAGTATTGATTTATTGTGGCAAACGGATATGTGATATGCGATAAATTAAAATCCATATTATTTCACAAATGATCAAATATATCAAGGCTTAATGATAATTACAACACTTCAAGTACAATATGCATGTATAGTCTGCCAAATCCCCCAATTAAAAACAACGATAATGATGATAACAATGACCATATACTTGATACTACAAAAGCAAGAATAAGGAGTATGTATGCAATTATAAGTACATATTGAATGGTAAATATGAAGAAAACTCGTTAGAACAGTGTAATTAAACACCTCGTGACATATCCATCAGGATGTAAATGACCGCTAAGACGATGTTAATCCGTATCATAATTCCGAGTATAATTATAGTGATTATTCATATAGAACTCCGAAACTCCGCAATTTTCTAATATAAAACGAGACTTTACAATTGTATTAAATACTACGATGTCGTTAAGTACGTAGATATATAAAGGTATATATTCTAGAAAATAAGAATGAATAATTAAAATGTTTATCTGCACGTTGAAAATGAGAAAATAGAAAACTAAGGATCCATACATGACATAATTATGAGATTTTGGAAAATAATGGAGAGCAGAACAAAGATTCCCTTGTAACACTCTTAGTAAAACGAGACATTTCTTCCCACGGAGATTTAATGCCCATTATATAAAACTTTCTTATTTCATATTTAGGAAATAATAATAATATGTTCAGTATATATTTCATACTATACTTAAAATACGTATAATAATACACTGGTGACAAAGGTTAATATTACTTTGACAAGCGATAGAGTAAACAAGTTAAAGCTTAAATAACATACATCCAGTTTCATCAACTTTAAACAATTCATTTCAGAAAATTGTTTTATGAAAATATATGATTAAATACTTTAGTTTCAAACGAAAACGGGAGACGTTATGGACTTATTTTATTTTATCCTTGCATACTTAAAGACATGTATACGCAGATTCATTTGAAAATGATTTAGATAAATATAACAGATATAATTGTCATTATGAGAATAGAATCCCCTGGAAAACTTCACGTACACGTTAATACTATGTAATTCAAATATAGTAATAATTAATTTATGACAATTTGTTGATCAAAAAGTCAAAATTTGTACTCTTGTTTTATCATCAAACTGTACTACATGTACAGTCGCGATTTTAATGAACTGCTATAAGAAGGACACAAACTGGGCTGGTCAATTGCAGGAATATATGACATTCCAAATGTTATATTTGCAGTGATGGCAAACTTCAATGAATAAACTGTACACAATCGTCTGTAGATTGTAGAACTGTTGTAATATAATACATAATCTAAAACAGTATCGTCTATGGCGTTACCTGATTACCGTTATCCGTTGAAATGTGATCCGTCGTTCAAAAACTGATTATTTGCAATGGTATCCACTCTTATTTAAGAACATTGATAAACAATAATGATCTCCACTTTCATATGAACACTCGCACGACTATAAATGAAACAAAATCAAAGCAAGAAGATATAATTTTACGACAATCAATGTTTTGGGCGCCATTTTGGATTTAGTTCCGAAGAAGACCGCCTGCATAAAATGGCGCATTGATCAAGGAAAATATCGACACACGCGCCATTAAATTGGAGCGGATGTCATTGAAACAATTCCAATGTCAGAATGTACGTGTAATTTAAAGCAAGCCTTTGGCAATGATAAGTGATGATATTATTCAATCTTGGCATGTATATCATTGTAAATGTTTGCATATGTGTTTTCTCTTTTTAGCAACGTATATCATTCTCAGCTAGATTAGGATAACCTAACCGCTTTGCTACAGTGCATGGCAGACACACAGTCAAGTATAATGAAAAACACGTATACAAACTTTTTCCATTTTATTTCTAGTTTTGTGAACAAAACTGCAATACTGTTCTGGTTCTAAAATTGAATTTCAATATTACATATATTCGGCAGCATAAAATAAACATTTTTCAACGTGGTAATCTCATGATTGTACATATCGATTATGATTCATTTTTATGGAATAACTACTGAACAGTGAGTGTGGCCTGGGTTGTGGCCAACTCCTTTGCCCTGTACAACTCCATATAACTCCAGAGATTTGGCTCATTTGTTGATTTACATCAGTGACACGTGCTTATGTATATGTTCCTTGTAAATTGTACATTTATTTTTCACTAAATGTTGTAAAAGCAACACGACTTGTACCTTCATTATGAGCAATAAAGATCAACAATAAAATTCAACGGATGGCCAGAAATATATGAATACTATGAAGAAAGCATGACAAATATATGATCAACTTAACAAAAGTGGAAAGCAATTATACAAAACGAAGCTAGTAAACGTAATCCTCTGAAAATAGTATTAAAAAAAATAAACGATGATTTATAACGTGCTCATAACCCTTACACATGCATGCATATGATATCGATATTCGTGGATTATTGATGAAGCTAGAGTCATCTGGAGGGTAACTCTATACATAATACAAATTTGATTGACGTCATCACATGCAATATCCTCTCATACTTTTTAGTAAGCGACTATAGATCTTCTTGGTTTAGCAATAAACTTTATATCATGGCAATATGATAGATTACTCAAATATAGACGTTATGCTAACATTAGAAGATTGCTTTTTTATTAAGAATATTCGTCAAATGCAATAAATTCCGACAGATCCCGTTTCATCAGAAGATTCTAAATGAACACAAACGTTCTCATTTCTTTGGAATGCTACTAATTCATTAACTAATATTCATTTCTTCGTGGAATTTGACCCTTCCACATGAAACCGTTTTTTATAAGTACCCCTTTAGGAATCCTAACAACCTTTAATAATCTTATTTAACTGTGGCTCAAGTATCTTACAATCAGAATACGAAAGGCATTTAATAGAAATTAAATTTGTGTATTTTTGAACATTTTAAAATGATATAAAACTTGACTTCAACATTGTTGCAATCACATTGTCTTTTCGCCCTTGTATCCCCGCACATACACATTACAAATGAGCAGATAGAGCGAGTCACGATTCAAAACATAACCTTTGGCCTTTAGAGTATTTTGCCGGCATAAATAATGAGCTCTATTTCCTCATTGGTCGCTTTGGGCATTTGTATATCCATTTGAAAACTAAGTTTGCAACTTTAGTGAAATTAACGAATGGTGAATATTTTCATTTTACATCTGAATAGTATTCCCCTAGATATATTTGAATTTAAGACATGTTCGTATTTCATTTATAAAATTTGGGAAATTTGAAAAATTACTAGAAATATTATCACGATGTTAGTTATATTGATTTTTAGGAATTTATGTTTGCATATAAGCTTTGAGATTGTCTTGACTGTGGTGAATCAGAAGGTATTATTTTCAACATTGTTTAATAATATTATTGTACTATTAAGTGTATATTCTAACATCCAATGAGCATTTTTAGATTGCTGAAATTTCGTTTTATGAAATACGTTTCTTTTCTGAATGTTGTAGTATTAATCAAATCAGAATTAGTTCCAAAGCAGCTTAATCCTGAATTTAGGAGGGCATAATGTATTTTTACAACAACCGTCCAATATCAATCGTTGCGATGTCGAAAACGTTTAGAAAATCCGAACGCGTAACACCCTACACTCCCATATTGCTATACTTAGTGCTCCTAAACAACCGCCAGCAAACTGCAGTATGCAAATGTACACTAGAGACCAGCAGAAAATGTGAATATTGAACATCGAAAAAACATTTAAACAATATGTTGAATGTTTCTGAAGTTCAATAAAAAAATGGAAAATTCTAAAATTACAAATATATAAGTGTGTATAACTTAGTAAAGGTATAATTGTGTACTCACCACCGTCGTTACAAAGTCGTTGTCGTCCTAAGCTCGGTACACCGCCAGTATTTAACTGGAGGCCTAGGACCGTGGTGGTGTGGTTTCCGACCCTTTGACTTTTCTCTGCAAAGAAAGATGGGTTTATATTAACAACTCACATTCTGCATAGAGTTTTATCTTTCATGTGTCAAGCAATGTTTAATAATTGACGGATGTCATTTATTGTCATGATATTCTGTTTATTTGATTCTAGAGCCCAGGATCGTCCAGGAACTGGTCGTTATATGTTCTTATATCCATGTACTGCGCGTATTGTGTGGAAGAATTGAATGAAATAAACATTCATTTTAACTCAAAGGCCTTTACATCATATGAATAAAATTTTGTTTATTCACTCGATTGTCATGTAGCATATGATTTTAATATGACAAAAATACAGCGTTTAATGTATTTCGATCGATCAACTTTTAATTTTATTTCAAACTGAAAACAAGTAAAGTAATGTTAAAACAATAGTAAAATCTGACCTCAATTTACCTAAAGTGTAATAAAAAGTAGAGTCCGAATGTATTTAAAGCTAATTCTTTATGTTTATATAATGGATGTTTAAGGATACTTTCATATTCGTTAAATTAGATAGGCTACTAAAATGTTAATAACAAAGGTCATTTGTGTCCAGTTAAACGATCGCTTTGATGTAATAAAACTCATATTAGTAGGCCTATTCCGCAAATATCTTGAATAAAATTGCATCAAATAATGTTCGAATATTTCTCATGTTTTTCAGGGTTTATGCTACGTGAATGGAGAATTTATTAATTATTTCAACAGTATATAAAGTACAATCATTGGCAGCGTAAACGAGGTATTTTTACATTTGTTAAAATATTACCTAAAAACAGAAACTATTACTACGGGGAAAATTAAATAAACAATTGTTCAACATTTCAAACACAAATGGAATTCCAAATAGCAATTATTTACTCCGAGAAAAATTAAATAAATATTTATTCTGTCTTGTGTATTTAAAATAAACCATTTAATGTACACATATAACATGGTCATATAGAAATTGAGACGGATCGTGTTATTATTCACCGTTTGCTGAGATTTTACTGATTCATAGATATAATTACTTGCTCAAATTGTATGTATATAAAAGAGTTAAAATGTATGGATAAGATAAACTGTACAATTTTCCTTTTTATCTTGAATAATAGCATCTTTAAATCATATGTAAATCCAATATGAATGCAACTTCACATAGAAATAAAATATCTCGCAATTCGCAAATGGCTGAAAATAACCCATATTCGTTATATTCGTTCTATTAAATAAAAGCCTTAAACAAAACTTTCTACTTTCATATTAACATGTAGTTTGTTTGTTCCAGATGCAGCTTGATAAGGAATGATTTACACAGTATTAAGATGGGATATCTACAATGGTTAAAACCGATTTTTTTAGCGATCGCACCACCTGACTGAAGGCTGGCTACATCCCTGGGTAGAAACTGGAGAACAATTCGAGCCAATCGAAAATAAACATATCAATACTTGCTCACATCATCGAGCAAAATAAAAAGAAAAAATCTTAATATTCTGACTGACTTAATAAGATGTGGCCAAAATTCAATTAAAGCCTTCAATTTTTGAGACAAATGTCGCGTGAGGATTACGGACCATCTGCACTGCAAGATACAACCACAAGTATTCTCTCGACGGATGAGAGTAATTTAATTTGAGGGTTTGGGCGGACATAGTTTATCCCAGCTTTCCTTTTGATGGATGGAAACTATATGCAAGGATTACTCTACAAATGAACGCTACACGTTTCGTATCCTAAACCAGATATCCCATTTGTATAAATGTCAAACGTTAGACTTCAGAGGAAATTAAGAAAATGCATCTGATAGCCGAACGAAATACTGAAGAATTGCATTGTCTCCGATGAAGGTAATAGCACGACATTGTGCATTGATTCAAATTTGAAGCAAGCAGACTAATACGTTGTTGCAAATGCCATTTGGAACGTAAAACAAGTGTCGTAAAATATGCTGTTGTGTTCAATATAGCAAGATGAGCATTGTCAGCTGTTGTTTCTTCTCATGTAAAGCAGCCCTGATGGTATATCCAAAACAATACCGCAAACATCAAAGAATAGCTCGCAAGTTAAAAATGCAATTTTGGTTCGATGGTTTAACTTTAACAGATGTCGGTTTCTATTACAAAAATTGTTTACGTCTGTAAACGTAGGATCGACTGATTTAATCAACTAGTTCTTGCAATCGATTTAACAAACACTGTATGCAATACTATGCATAATGCATATGTATTTTGTTATTTCTAATTCAGTATTTTCTGCATTATATTGAGACATATATAGTGGTACGCCATAAAGTCAATCATGTAGCAATATATACACTCATTTATTTATGTATACAAATAAATCTATTTCGTTCATAAATTTAAAGGAATTCATACAGTTTGGTGATGCAGCAATGAATACCATCTGATATATCGAGTAAATTTTGATATTGGTAATATTCTACAATAAAACATATTACAACTGAAGAGTATCATTTTCATCGTTCGCAAATTGACGATCGATTATTTGTTAGTTTGTGTTCTAGAAGAAACCGATTACACAATGAATAACCACGAATGCATTAGCAAGGTGCAGTAGGATACATAAAAAACACAAAAACCCGTAAACCGCGAAACAATCCACATCACACATTCGTGGGCGATACATACATGCCAAAAACGAATCGATTAGATTGTGGCGGTGAATAATTTACATTGGAAGGAAAAAGAATGAACACAAAAACACATGTCTTCAAACATTATGAAAATATTTCGTTTCATTCTGTTGAATTTACGAATTTACCAACAGAAAAATGCTTATATCCATTGGGACCTTTGATTAATACACCGTCATTAATTTATCGACAAATAATCTGTATTAATAGGCATTTTCAATCTAATTTTACAAAATAAACACAAGGGAAATTTTAGAGAGACGTTGAGTTATTTGAAAGTTAAAATGGTTCAAGTGATTTGAGCAATTGATGGTTTTACAATGACAAAGATTAGTGTGCATTAATCTACTATAGTCCAAAACGTATATAGCACTGTCAAAAATGGCTAGAATTACCCCGAAATTGCACAGTTAGTTAGTTGTCGGTCGATCTATTTCAAATCCTAGACATAGCTAGGTATTTTTCCCTCCGATGGATAAAAAGATCCGATTAGTCTAAAATAGGGCTTAATGCAACAACCTAAGTGGAGGATGTGACTGATAGGATATGTGTTTCAAAAACCTGGACCGATCACAAAAATATCACAAAATATCAAACGCCAGCGTTTTGATTTTCACGGCGAGATTACTTTTATATAAATAAAGGGGAAAATAAATCAGCCATTCTTATTTAATAAAATACATACGCTTAATTAAAACTCATACAGACTAATATTTTAGGAAGAACATTTATAAACCGTGCTTGTTCCACGATCAATATGCTTACCCAGTGTAGCAGCCTCCATCCCGCCACCTGCGTCTTAATATAATCCAAATTCAAGACGTTTCCAACAAACCTACATTAAGATATATCCGGAACAATAATCCAAATGTTAGATTCTTACTTAACACTTACTGTAGCAATCTAAACTAACAGTTAGACTGAGCAGTGTTTTAAGGAGAATCTGGATTCTAAATTACGAGTCTTAAATCAAAATATGACAATTTTATTGCTTCTCCCAAACTAAAAGTGGGCCATCCTGACAATATATTTTCACGTAAACGACTTGACCTCATTATACATCCCAATAACTTTCTCTTTCCTTATTTACAGCCCTGTGAATTCAAGAACAGGATCCAGGCTGAAATTGTGGTATTTTATAGCTAGAAATGGCGCGAAATGGGTAATTAGAGACAGTCCCGTTAAAATCATGGCAGTCTAGCGTCATAAATTCACATGACCTATCTTAGAAATGGCGTCCTTGTAAAAACAAAGTATCGTTTCCAAAGCCATAATTTACATTTTAGAATATGCCCCGGGTGAGACATGGCTCTAATTGTTACATCTTTTTTAGTTTGTTTTGTAATAAAATACATGTAAAATCGTTTAAAAATCCCTTTTAATCGTTGCTTTGATATAAACATAAATATAAACATAAATATTTTCACTGTTTCATTGAGACTCCAAATCTTCTGACGTTTGTGGCCAAATGATAAAATATTCTTTTTAAATACATATGCAGATTGCGTGTACCATCTGGAAACCAACTATAATCCCCCATTAGTATAACAAATGAAGATTACTTGGAGATTATTAGAGAAATTACGTTGTCAATACAAAGCCGCCATCTTGAATGTATTTTGGATAAAACTAAGTGACCTCGAGCAAGTAGATTCCTGGCATGCAACCGGTCATAACTCACAGTACTTTTAGATTATCTTCTACTCACTGATTACGGCCTTTATAAAAAACCTTATACAACCGGTTGTAAAACAAGGAAGAAACTGAATCAAGGATACACCATTATAAGTTGTTGCATCAGAAGAACACAGCTAATCACAATCGTAATTATCTTGCTATTAAAGTCAATAAAGATCAGTTTACATACCAGATGCCGATTCCTTATCTCCAAATAGTGTCCGAGAGAAAGTTGTGCTGTAAATTTCAAGTTGACTGGATTGAGAAAACGAAATAGTTCCTCTAAAAGCTTCAAGTAGGCTGCCAGCTATTTGTCCGATTTTCAAGTGTATTATCATCAAACAGAGTGACAGATACTATTTATTTTCTGTCTCACCTATGCATCAACCACTAATTATACGACTTTGCAAGTTTTCAAGCTAATCACCCATTAAGAGAAAACATTTCGTAAGATCGGAATCATCCCTCAGTGCAACTGGACATAGAACATTATAATTATATCAGTGTACGTTGGCGAACGAGAAATAGGCTTGATCAATGACCTTTGGCACAAATGACCCGCAACCTTTTGTCGTCATTCCTCATGGGCTCAAATTATTCCCTTGTAGTTCCAAGCTGGCTATTATATGTCCATTGGCAATGTGATCGCAGGTGATTTGATATGGAATGACAATCAAAATTACAA